TGCGGCTGGCTGTGCGTGTGTGCTGGTTGGCTGGCTAGGCTGCCCAGCCTTGGTGCTAGGCGCCAGCTAGCAGCCTTGGCAGGTTTCCAGCCAGCCACTTGGAGGGGAGGGCCGGTTTTGCTTGTGGGGACCAAGGGTTGGAGCTTTGCCTTGGGGAGCATGGCTATGGTCCCCCCTTTGGAAATGGTCCTCACCTAATCTCTCATCCTCCTTGTGCCACTTGTAACTTATTGATTGAATTGCAATTTTATTTTTGTTTTGATTAAAATAAAATGGGAAAATTGCAAATCTCCCACATTGATTGTGAATGGGAAATCAAGGTTCATTTCCCTATAAATACCAAGGTTTTGGGATTTGGGAAGAACACTTGAGTGGAATTAAAAAGGCATCTCTTAAGAAAAGTGAGAAAACCTTAAGTTCGTAAAACTATAGTTTTTATTGGTCGGGTCCCGACTAACCTTCGAGACTTGGACCGTTCGGGTCGGGTTCGTGGGTACGAGTCGTCGGAGACCTTCGCATTTGCGGGGTTCAAGTTTTGAAGTAAGAGCTCGGGATTCGAGCGAAGCACGCGCCAAGGGTAAGAATGTCTTTTCCTTCTCTCTATATTGTTTAATTTGTGATTGCATTTTTAGTTGCCTTAATTGGCGGGTCTTGGGCGGGTTTCTTTTCCGCATAGAGTCGGACTCTACAAAACCCAACATGTTAATGATTGAAAACAGGGTGAAACGACCTCTATTTATAGGGAAAAAGAGGGTCGAAGGATAAAAAAAGAGTCAGAATTTGAATCAAAGTAAAATAGATTCCATCGCGGCACGTCGAAATTACCGCGGCGAGGCAGAGACCATCACGTCACAGGAGACTATCCCGTCGCGACAGGACCATCGCTGCGCGTCAGAACTATAGCGGCGCGACAAAGTTCATCGCGTCGCAATGGGGACTATCACGTCGCGACAAGGTCCATCGGCCTATCGCAGCGCAATGATTCTGTCGTTCTGCGATGGTTTTGAAAAAGATAAGAATTCGTACGGAATTCGATTTCTGATCGGATTGGGTCAATCAAATTTCCGTACATGTTCTATTTTGACCGAGATTAGGATCATTGAAAAAGAGATTTTTTATCCGATGAAAAATTCTTTAATCTTTATCTTTAGGAAAACAGGATAAATTAGAAGTTTTTAGAAAATTCTAGAAGCTAATAATAAATCCTAAGGGATATAGGATCGAAAACAACCTTCAAGAGGATTCTAGATGCTTATAATAAATCCTAATTGGTTTAGGAATGAGGTTAAGGTTAATGGACCCTCCACGCGGTCATTGGGTCGTTGATAAGGCTCGGTTTAGTATTTTGGCCATAACTTCTATAACTCGGATTTGGGCTTATAATATATCGTTGGAAAGCTCTTTTAAACCCCATCCAACTAAATAATTATTGGACTAGGACTATGGACCAAAATAGATTATTCTGGACGTTTTTAAGGTTTGGACACGAAATGAATGATTTTAAGGACACGAAATGAATGATTTTGGGTTTAAGGGCACGAAATAATTGATTTTGATTTAAAACATTTAAGGAAAGGTTGTAAATGGTCAAAGCTAAAGGGAAATTCATGAGACTCTTCAACTCTTCACCTAACTCAATAATCAAAGACGTGAAAGGTACTCATCACTGGGTTTGGTTTTTAGGGAGACACAATTAGGTGTCTACAACTATACATTATTTAAAATTGGATTTGTGAGCATTGAATTCATTTTTATGTGAGAGTAATTGATTCTAGAAAGGATTATGTTAGATGAAAACTTAGAAGAAGATAGTTAGCTCTCCTTTAATGTCGTTTTTCCTCCACTCATGGAGTATATTGTCATCCATTTAAGCCAACTGTCTATAAAGGCAAGAAATAGATTTTATTGATGTGGCACAAAAATCAAGAAATTTATTCACAAGAATGTCATTAGATAAATCCCCTTTATTAGGTGTGGTTAACACTAAGTTCATCTTGGTGCCAGCCCTTGTTCAGTACACCTGGGTGTCTTCCTCTAGGTACACTACCCAAGGGCATTTTCGTAAATTTGCACATTATAATTGCATGTGCCTAATGCATGATACTCCATATTTGATCTATTTCTTCTTCCTTTATGCGATAATCAAATCAAATTCATCTACTGAGTTCAAGCATCAATGGCGGAATTGATTTTAACTCCAATACAAACAATCATTGATCATTCCCAGCAGCTATAACCAAATATCAATTTCTAGGTTAATTTGTTATTAATTTTGAGCAAATTAATCGATGTAATTTGAGCAAATTTATGCGTATAATTTGAGCAAATTGATGCGGAATTCTATATTTATATGAGCATCAATTGATCATGATTAAGTTGATCCTGATTATTCATCAAAATTGACACTAATTGTTCATCAAAATTGATCTTGAATAGCAAAAAGCAAACTGTGAGGAGGGTAGTCCGTCGTTGGGGATCCTACTTCCTCTATGCTCATGGCCCTTTAAAAGCCTAGGACTTTACACTTTTGAAGGTGTGCTAGGATTTGAATTCCTGGCTGTTTGGGGGACCTTGAATTAGAATTGATTCTATCATTACACTTTTTTGTAAGAAACTAATAAAGAGTCGCCAATGAGTTTTTGGAAAACTCATAAACCTCATTCATGTCTTTCTCCAAAGTAGAGTTCAAGGGATATTTAGCACGAATCATAAGTTTACCCATGCCCAAATTGGTCTACTTGTACCAGAAATGAGTTTGGGAGCGAGGGTACTTAAATAGCGTTCCCTTTAGGGGGGGAATCGCTATCCTAGCCATAGTGCGACCTCTACTAGTATTCCTTTTCACAATTTCATCACGAAACAATATATGCAACGTGATACCTAAAAGTAAGTTAGTTGATTTTATTTACACACGTTAATCACATAAGGATTACATTACAATGAATGACGTTATCCTTATTCAGTCCAAGTTCGTGAAAGAACAAAAGTAAACAAGATTCGCCTTGGCTTAAGTGATAAAACAATCAATTAATTTGTCTAATTCTAGTCTTGTTTTAACGAAAGAATACTATGTCAAATTAAGTAATTAAATGTTTATTTTAACATGATCAAACAACACTAATCAATTAATTTAAGTGATTTAGGACAAGAAGAGTAATGTGATTTATCTAAGCGCTCGGGAATTACCACTTTTCCTTGCTAGATCTTCGCTTGGAATGTTTATGGACACCTTCTTGATGGGGAACCTCCACCGTAAGAACAAAATAATTAAAAGGGTGAGTGTTTAGGACAAGAGGGTTGATTATTGCATAAGTTCACAAAGATGTTACCGTTGACCTTTTAGGCTATTTTTTTTTTGTATGTTTTGAGCTCGTATTGAACCTCTATTTATAGGGAATGGGTAAGATTAGGGTTTCGGAGATTCTTATGTAAGAGGTAACGTGTGAAACTGTGAAGGTTGTGAGCGGCTTCCGCGCACAAGTGAAAGAGTTGCGCTGCTGTGGGCAGCACTACCTCTAGTCTTGCACGTGGCTCTAAGGTAAGATTTGATTTAATATATTTTTGAAATTCTAAATCTTCCGTAAGCGCATCTCTGAAGGTTGCGCTGGACGTCGCGCGCAACCTTTTGAGTTACGCGCGCAAGGCTAGTGCGACTTCATGAGTTGCTCGCGGATTTTCCTGCGGCAGCCCTACATTTTAACCTAGGCACTCTAAATTCGTCCGAAATTAGGTTTAATTTCGGGATTAAGCCTAATTTTCGGTCGGGCTTTGTGTTAATGAGCTTTAGTTCATTTTGTTTGGGTCAAACTAGCTAGTTTTATGTGTTTAGGCTTTAATCAAGAGTGCATAAGCTTTTGTTACTCCAATCCAGCACAAAGATGGAATTATTTATCGTCATAGCACTTTCGGTCGGGAGGGGACCAAAAGTAGATGTCTACAACACTATGCGAGGGCTTGGGATGCGGGTTGGCCTTGCCCCCACTAGTGTGTTGCGGCAAGGCCTTGCGCTAGGCTTGCGAGCCTAGCACGACGTGTCGTTTGATTATTTTCCGTCTCGTCGATTCCTAGAATCGTCTCGACGTTTGACGCTCGGCTTCGACGCTCTAAGCTCGGAATCTGACGTCTGAGTTCCTAATATCTTTATTGACGTATTTAACCCTTCGGATTAATTCGTCACCTTAGTTCGGTTACACGATTGGGTGTGACCCGCAGGGTTCAGTCAAGAGCAAGTTGTAAGATTAATTATATTAATCTTACTGATCGAAAGCGGCCTCTAGCCAGGCATTCGGATCACTTGACTTCACTAAATAATTAGTTTTCCTAATTAATTCTGAACCCTCTATCGGAGGGATCACCTGGATTTTCGAAGTGTGGGTTCGAAACTTCCGAAATTTGAAATCATAATTAACAAAGGAATAAAAATACAATAATTAAATATTCAGTACATAAATAAGTTCAAACTATGGATTACAAATAGATTACACATAGAAAAATGAAAAAAAAAAAGACTACAGAAGCATTCTTCGAGTCTTCATACTTTGGAAGCGTTCCAATACATCATCATCACTAACTCTTGAAAATAAATCTCTTTCAAGAAAAGTGACTAAATTATCATTCAATAGTTGATCACCCATACTATTTCGCAACTTATTTTTTACGTATGTCATTGAGGAAAACACTCGTTCCACGCTTGCAGTTGCAACCGGAAGGATCAATGCTAGTCTTATAAGCAAGTAAACTAAGTTGTAAGTAGTATGCTTATTTGTTTCAACAAGCATCATAGAAAGCTCATGAATACCCTTCAAGTCTCCAAACCTTGCATCTTGGCGCACATCATTAATATAAAATTGAAGCTAATGACGAAGTGCAGTCATCGTCATATCATTAGTTGGAAACTCTTTGGGATATAACTCAGCAAGTCTCAACAACTTTTGCATATCAAATGCCGCAAATGAATTGATCGGGTTTAAGCATGACACACAAATAAGTAACTCCATATTTTATTCATCAAATCTACTATTGAGCTCTTGGAGTTGTAAATCAATGACACTTATAAACATTTCTACCCGAAATCGATGAAGATTTGAAACTTTGGCAAAGAAGCGTCTTGACCTTCCATGAGGAACATACATATCATCCATAGTAGGAACTTCTACATCATGTTTAACACAAAAACAAACCACAAGATGTAAAAAGTCTTCCCACCCATGGACCCTCATTTGTTGTAATCCCTCCTTAGTCAATTTAACATATGTCATGGCATTAACAATATCTTGGTCCCCCTTTTGCAGAGCTTGACACAATTTATCAGTAATCCCAAATATTTCGGACATCAAATGTATCATAAATACAAATTCAAATGATTCAAATGTAGACATGACAGTGATAGCCTTCACGCGATCATCCTTATAAATCTTATTTGATCCAATCTTCTCAAGAACTTTAACAATAGTAGCATAAAATGCGGTAACATTTGAAACAGTTTTGTAATGTGATCCCCACCTAGTATCACCAGGCCTACCTAAGCCATGTTCTTGGTTTAAACCTTGCCCACTTTCAATTTCTCCTAGTTCTAATGCTTGTAGAATATGTTGAGATTGTATTTCTCTTATCATTTCACTTCGCTTACAAGAAACACCAATAATATTCAACAAAATAGCAAGTTGATCAAACAACCAAATACAATCATCATTATCCTTAGCAACAGCAACAAGGGTTAATTGAAGTTGGTGAGCAAAACAATGAATATAATAGGCTTGTTTTGTTTCATTCATGATCAAAGTCTTGAGACCATTTATCTCCCCCCTCATATTACTAGCACCGTCATAACCTTGTCCACGAACTCTAGACAAACTCAATGAATATTCCATAAGCAAAGACTCAATTGCACTCTTTAGTGACAAAGCAGTAGTATCCTTAACATGTACAATTCCAAGAAACCTCTCATTTATCTTCCCTTTATTATTGACATAACGCAAGCAAAGGGCCATTTGTTCCTTTTGAGATACATCACTTGATTCACCAGCCATTATTCCAAAATAGTCATCCCCAATATCATCAATAAGAAGTCTAGTGGTTTCTTTGGCACAACAATTAATAAGTTCTTTTTGAATTGAAGGACTAGTCATTCGATTATTTCCCAGGGCATTACCTAGAACAACCTTTGCTACCTCACTATTATTTTCTGAAAACCATGTTAAGAGTGCAAGAAAATTACCCCTATTCCAAGATTCATCACTTTCATTATGCCCACGACAAGCTAAACCTTGATTTAAAAGAAATCTAATACATTTCAATGAATAAGTCAAGCGAGATTTGTATTGTAGTTTAGCTTCCTTAGAATAAGTGCAAAGAGATTCAGCAACTGATGTCTTTGGGTTGATAAACATACTATATTTCTCATTAGCCTGATTATGGAAACTACCAATACCACCCACATGAACATCAAATCTACCAGTCTTATTCCATCCTCTAAATCCCCCTTTAATAAAGGAATCATTAACAGCCAAAGAATAATCAAATTTATCAGTGAACAAATAGCACACAAAACAAAAGCCGCATCTTTCTCAACACTATATTCAAGCCACTCATATTTATCAAACCAAGTAACATTAAAACGGCGCATACCTCCAACTTTTCTTTGAGGAAAATTATGTGTGCGTGGATCACAACGTTTCTTTGTAATATAGCCTCTCCTTACGGCATCTCGATCATTAGGAGGATACTCCATAATTGGAATTCTTTTTCCAGGGTCATGTGGAAGAAGATCAACATCATAAATGCGAGTATCATCGGAGTCAACAGTAGTATTTGGAACACTTGGACCTGTGTTCTCAGGTGGTGGAATTGTTGCAGCAATAGGAACCTCATCATCATTAGGAGACACATGTTCTTCTATTGGAGGATCCCTTGAACTAGGTGAAGAACAAGTTGAAGACTTTTGTGACTTCCCGGCACGTTTCCAAAATGACTCTAAACTCATGGTATAATAGGTATATACTGCTAGTCTGCTACACACACATGATAAATGCAGAATGAAATCAATGAATGAATGATAAATCTAGAAAGCAAATTAAAACTATCGTAATTAAAGATTACAGTCAATTACTCAATTAGTAAACGAAATCTAGACGGCAGAAAACGAAATAGCATATGAAATTATGAAAACTAGAAGGCAGAAAACGAAATACAGAAAATAGCATATGAAATTCAACAATGTAACTAAAAAAATCCCCAAATTGAGAACTTGAGAAGTAAATTAGATAATTATAACCAAACTTCAGCAATTTACAAAAAATTGGCAATTCGTAATGTATATTAGCAATTTAGCATATGAATTTCAAGTATTCAATGATTTAGCAAAAAAAAATCCCCAAATTGAGAAGTAAATTACATTTGCAAAAAAAAAAATCCCCAAATTCACTTACCTACATACACCGATACACGGCTGTGAGGCTGTCAGTGCTGTGACAGACGACGGTGGGTCTGCTGGCCTGTTGGGTGAGTGGCTGGTGCGCTGCCGCTGCCACCGTGTTCTGGCGTTCTGCTGACTGCTGCCGTGTTGCGCCGGGAAGAGAAGGAGGAAGAACGGGAAGAGAAGGACTGAAGGAGGAAGAACGGGAAGAGATTAAGAGAAGGAGGAAGAAGTTAGGGTTTTGCAATTTGGGGGAATGAGGAAGAGGAAAGCTGGAAGCAGGGAAAGCTCAGGAAACAAAATTAAAAAAAAAAAAGTGTGAGTTATGGGTTTTGAACCCACAAACTCTTGTGTGATGGGAGGTAAAAATAACCACTGGGCTACAACTTTACTTGTTGTCATATAATACACAAATATTCTATTTAAACCTATTTTGATTTCTTTTTTTTTTAAAAAAAATTTAATTTTTTTCAAAAAATCAGTGGGTTCAATGAACCCACTTGAACCCACCCTAGCTCCGCCACTGGCTGACCATCGACCTTGTGCAGTAATAAATCCTCCTCCCGTGACATTTATGGTACATTGCTGCAACAAATACTAAGAGTTACTCCTAATTAAGCAAATGTAGAAAGTAAGGCTCGAACTTGTGACCTCAAAGTCATAAGATGATTTTCCCACTATATCCACCATTTATGTATGGTTGAATATACATATACGAAATAGCATATTTGACATCGTACAATATATACTTTGTATTAAATATGTAAGTATTGCGTATATTTATGATTTACCTCATATACAGGTTGACCATAACCCCATATAAAATCAATGGCTCCTTCAATGTAGCAAGACTTGAAATAATGACAACCATTATCATCCCATAGTGTATCTTGATATCCTAGAAACCCACAAGAATAGAATGCATTCTTATCTCCATAAGAATAGGGCAATGGCAGGAACGTGCTCCGTATCATCTTTTGGTGCCCCAGTACTAAAAGAGTTCTAATAGAACAAAAGGTAAATCTAAGAATTAGTTGATTTGTGGATGTATATATAATTCCAATTAGAACAATGAGATTAAGTAATTGCATTTAACCTAAATAGAACTGGATCAACAAAAATCGATTTTGATTAGTATAAGCGCGAAATTATAAATACATAGAATAATGTGTATTATATTCTTTTGAAAAGATTTGATATAATCTTATATAACCAAGGTAGTGGTGTCCATACAAAATATCTATATGTCAATTATATATACTTACTCTTTTAAAATGGTTAGTGATGAACATATTTTAAAAAAATTTAAGCAAACATTATGTGCATATATATTTTGTACTATATCAATACTAGAAGGAACTTAGTCGCGTTGTGATGTCGAATGTTAAGATTGTCGTTCTTCCTTTAATAAAAATAAATAAGCCGTAAAAAAAATAGAGTAAATAAATAAATTAAGATCTCAAAATGCAAGATATAAGATATGGGAGTCTTGATTGTTGAGAGACTTATCATACTTAGAAGAGTTTTAAAATACGAGAGTGAGGGATAACTCAAGTGGTTAGAGCTCCCCTTCCGATTTCAGGTGATCCTAACAGGGGTATATGGGGAATAAACAAAAAACTCAAGGGTATATGGTGAAAAACCCGTTTAAAATATCTAAATAAAGTATGACCTCATATAATAATACAAGATACCATGGATTTATCATTTGATTCTTAAGAGATTTATCATACATATAAGAAATTTATACTCAGCACTATAAGCTAATACTGCGTAGCAATTATACGACATAATAATTATAAAAAAGGAATTACCTTAAAGGTGACACCTCTAGCTACAAAGTTGTCAATGTACAAAGCAAAAGTAATGCTATTTAACGCTGGAGAATGGACATCAGAGGTTATTATGGTTGTAGTACGATCGCTTCCTTCAAGAATTATAAATCCTCCTTTATCTTGCTGAATTGCAATCTGCTCCCTTCATGCGTAAAACCAACATCGTTAATCAATCTATGCACATGTAAAGTATCTTACATATGTAGAATATAAAGCATATTATAATAAGTGTCTATTTTTTTTTTAAATTCAACATTTTGACCAGTGCGAAGTTTATGCAAATGGGTTGAATTTGTTAAACCATTGTGTAAGCGAGATTTTGTTGGGGATTTAAAAATGATTAAAAAAAATAATATTCATTAAATAGTTCATTTAAATGTAAAGGATGGGAGTGAAGAGACATACTAAAAAAAATTAATAGAGCGAGGAGTAAGGACCATGTTAAAATGGAGAAACGCTCTTTATGAGAGTATAGCAAGATTGAAAGATAATTTTATTGCATTTTTTTTGTGTTCCCATGTACAAGGGCATGCAGGTAACACTTTGACTCATCTTATTGCAAGATGGAATGTAAATGAATAAGGATTTGTATAGTATGATGAGTTCCCTAAAAGTTTTCCAGTCAGACAGAACTTGATTTGATTTGATAAATTTCACCTTATGTTAGTTGTTTTAAAAAATATTGTAAAATGTTTCCAATTAAAGTGTTGCATTTAAAAAAAATAATAAAAAAAAAATATTAAAAAAAAAAGAATATATTTTAAGACTTGTAAGTTCCAGGTTTAATAAATATTTTGACCCATTGATTATTGCTAGAAGGAATGGAATTAAAGGCATCTGTAATGGTGGTGAAATTTGCGACGCCCGATTGTGAAACGGTGATAATACGGTAAGCTATCATAGACGCATTTTGGCACTCTATAGCTCCAGACAATAAGAAACAAACATTTTGGAAACTTAAACACAATACAAATAGTAGCAATAAAAGTTTCACACTTGAAGGAAGAAGAATGAATGAATTTCAATAAGATAAGCAATTGATATGTATTAACTAATTTTCACAATATAAGAATGATGGAGATTATGCCAATAATTAGAATTAGAAGCATATCAAAGGTCAAACTCTATTATTTTTCATGAAAATGAATTTGTAGTACATCAATCATGATCTTTTTTTAGTGGATTGCTAAATACCGCCATCAAATATTATCAAATCGCCATCATTTTAAGTAAAAGGACTTTCTTGTCCTTAATAAAAATTTACCCAGTTTTTTACTTTTATTTTTCTAACTTTAATCCATCCACTACAACCACCGCATCAACCACCTAGATTGGACCACCACCACGAACGAAAAAGTCAACGAAAATGGATGATAATCACGATGGATCGTTGGAAAACCAACCACAATCTCCACCGTCAGCTTTTGAACAAGTACGATTTCGATAATTAATGTTGAATTTTGACGCGAAAAATGACTTTTGACGATGGTCAATCGATGCCCAAAACCGGTCAACTTTCACGGCAATCGTTTTGGGCGCCGATTGACCGTGACGGATATCGGTTATGAGCGCCGGTTACCATGGTCAACCGGAGTTGGAAACCGGTTACCGGCCACGGTTAACTGGTGGTCAAATTCGGTCACCGTGCCCGGTAACCGGTTTTCAGTTCTGGTTGACCGTGGTCAAGGTCGGTTTTTTTTTTCTTAAAAGAAATTATTATTATTATTATTATTATTATTATTATTATTATTATTATTATTATTATTATTATTATTATAAGGTCCCACCTGGCGGCTCGAGCATCAGTCAGTGTTATGGCTAAACAACCCTAAACAGGTCAAAATGCAGGAAAATACTCGTAAATCCAAGACTGTAACAATGTCAAACACCCGGCAATCTGTCTGCAACCTATCCATGAGGTAACGCCTAATTGCCGATACAAATAAGTAAGTGTAGCTGAACTCCATGAATAATGAGAAAGCTGAACATCCTTCTTCTTCACCTCTAAGATGCAAGAAGGAGGAAAACGACTACCACTCTTATCGACAAAAATAGTGCTGCCAAGAACTAACAACAAGAAACCCTGCACCTGGATATCAGTGTCTCCTTTCTGTGCCAGGCATCTGTCACATATGGCCTGACATGACATCGTCCCGTTATCCCAAATGGATGTCGGCTTGGCAGCAATTTTATCTGCTCCTACGCCCCAAAAGTTCTGAAAGTGAACCTTCAAAGACGCAACATCGCTTTGCTCTACAACAGCATCACCCTCCACAGGTAACCCAAGTATGTTTTTGACATCAAGGAGCATAATAGTTATCTCGCCGAACGGAAAGTGAAAAGTGTTTGTGTCCGGCTGCCAGTGCTCAACGAACGCCGAAATCAGGGCCCAGTCAATGCGATGATGCATGATGTTAACTAGCCCACTCAAACCAGTACTATCAACTCATCTACTCACATCATCGCCCATAGCACTGTGCATATTATGCAAATTTAGGCACCATTGCGTCCGAGATTGACACTTCAATACATCACGATCTTTTTCCGACCCCATCAAAATATACGTGGCGATGTGACCTGCATAACTGAGAATGACACTACCATCCTTGGGACCACCCGGCATTTGAGCCTGAACACGCCATGTAGTATCATTCGACGCTCGGACAACACGAACTTTAGGAGTTCGGGAAGTACCAACTCTAGTACTCTGAAATCTACCATCAGCACCTCTCCTCAAAGTGACTCCAAATGACGTCTTGCCTTGCTCTCCCCTATCTCGCCGATGTTGAACAGATCTCGAACTCCCATCATCTTCCATAAAAGTGTTAATTTGATCCTCGTGTCACTCTTCCTCCTCCTCCTCCTCCTCGTCCTCCCCCTCACGCCCCACAACCTCATCATCAACACACGCTCCCTCGGCTATAGGATCTGATGTCCTTTGTCTCCTAGTCAAAGCAGTCACTGCACAAGACCTGGTATGTCTCTCACCCACCCACCAAGACGATCAAACGTCATTTTGAGCCTACCCAACTGACGTCATAACCAAATTAACAAAATATTTACAATCAATAATAATAATAATAATAATAATAAAACAGCTTAATGATAATAATATTAACTGTAATAATCATAATTGTGAAAAAAAAAACAATAACAATCATAATACTAATAATAATTAACAATATCAATTTATAATTATTATAATTTTAAAAATAATAACATAATATAATTTTTACAAAAAATAAAATAAAAAAAGGGTGACTGGTAACAACCGGCGTAGAAAACTGGTTTAACCCCGCCGTTAACCGGTTTTGATCGTCGGTTACTAGTGACGGTCAACCGAAATTCCATGCTGGTTAACGGCAACGGTCAGTCGATTTTCCAAGCCGGTTACAAGCCATCAATTTTTTTTAAAAAAAAAATAAAATAAAATAAACCTAACCATTAAAACCGGTGGCTGGTAACTAACCGGCATGGTAAATCGGTTCACCGCCACCGTTAACCGGTTTCGATCGCCGGTTACCGGTGTCGGCCAACCGGTTTTCCACGCCGGTTACCAGCCACCGAATTTAAAAAAAAAAAGTCAAAAACAAAACAAAATCGTCAAAACTAACCTCCTTTGTCAGTTTTCCGGCCATTACACCACGAGACCACCGTTGCCTGTACGATCCGCCGCCACCTGCTTTGTGATTGTGGTGGTTGTGTGGATAGAAAGTGGTGGTTGTGGTGTTTGATGATAGAGGACAAAAATAAAAGGAATAAAAAATTGATTAGGGTTTAGTAAGGGCAATAACGACATTTTGCTTGAAATGAGGGCGGTTTTGATCATTTTGGATTGCGGTATTTAACACCCCCTTATTTTTATCCAATCAGCTCTTGTATTGTAATATTCTATTTATGTCTAAAGAAATTTGTCCTTCTATCTATATTCCACTAAGATTGATTTTGTTAAATTTGGGTATGGTTAAATTGACGATGTACTTAATGAAAATTTCGTATCAAATGGTTAAGAAAGTAAACTTACTTTATATATATAAATTGCTTAAGTACTTCTTAATTAAATTATCACCCTTAGATTACCAAAACTCACATTTTAATATCTATATATTGCACGAAATACGTACAATGAAATAACTACTAGTAGTTTTTAATAATGTTTTTTTGACCCGAAGTATATATAGTAGTTGCCTTCAAAGTCCCTTAAAAAAACCTACAACTTTCAAAATGTAAAAAAAATAAAAAAATAAAAAAAATAAAAAATAAAAAATAATAATAATAACAATAATAATAATAATAATAATAATAATAATAATAATAATAATAATAATAATAATAACATTTATGCTGTCGGTATCTCATATTATCTCTCCATTGAATCAGATTATGAGTTGTAAAAATTTTATATCATATCGTTGTACGTTAATTGTAATACCCTAAATGTTTGAGTATATTTAATCAACGATTTTTCTAGTATAAACTTTTATATTTATAATTATTTTCAAAATTATATGTTATAGTAAAAAATCTAATAATTATTATTATTTATTTTCGGATTTATTATTTTTTAAGGAAAAAAAAAACTGATTTTGGATAATTTCCAGGAACTGATTTCAGCGTGTGATTCAATCCCATTTCTTTTTTGAAAACTAATTTTATCTAAAAATTTGAATTTTAATCTTATCATAGTTAGTTACATCAATCTATCTATCTCAAACCTCAATCTCACCCAAATTCCACCTTATAAATTGCCTGACCGTGAGAAAGGGAGGCACAAAAACAACTACATACGCTGCTTCTTCTTCCACCCTTCATCTCCATTAATTTAGTTGTAAGCCAAATTGATAGGTATAAGAGCTCAATTAACTCATAATCCCTTCTTTATTTTGATGACTTTCACTAGCCAATTAAGCTTCAATATAATCTTACAACTAGTAATTTTTAACTCCTTTCGTCGTTCAACCTGTAACTCCATTTACGAACCCAACCTGTTGGCACTCAAATTGAATCTGTTGCTTGTCTCCAATGTTATATCTCAATATTAGACCACCATAGCTTCAACCCTTACCGTCAATTATCGTCAACACCGTTGCTGTATTAGCATACCCCTCTTCTGAAATTTGCCAAATTCACCAAACTGATCTTAGTATACATCCTATTTTCTTAAAATAAAATAATAATAATAATAATAATAATAATAATAATAATAATAATAATAATAATAATAATAATAATAATAATAAAGGGGCGAAGAGGGGGTATAAGTTATCATTTATGATTTGTTGGTTGCAATTCCATATATATGGTGGTGGAATTCCATACCTTGTGATTACAAGAATTAGATAACTGTAAAAGATAAGCTGACTTCAATGAAAATAGGAGAGAGAGAAATACTACCAATTTTGGTTACTGATTTTCTTTTGGTTTCATTTTCTTTAAAAAAAAAAAAAATTTCTTTCATAATATATATGTAAACAAAGTTTGGAGGCGTAATGTATAGTATTACTAATTTAGTATTATTATCTGTTTATTTGTAGGCGGAGGCTACTAGGTGAACGTTTCGGAGGTTACTTACCTTAAGATTTACGCGCAATTCAAGGTAATTTTCAATGTCCATCATCTTTAGAATCCCGTTAGGAAATCGTTTTGAATTATTATGTGCCAACTATGTGCTTACATAATTATATGTGATGAGTGTGTTACTGTATGATATTATGGAATCATATTATATACTAGTTTTCTATAATTGTGTACTAGTATAGTATTTTCGAAAATTTGATTAATTGGTATTGTATGAGTTTTTTTTTTCTAATTTAAATCTTGGGAATTGGATGATTGCTTGATTTTATGTGATTGATGGTCTCCAAGGCCTATTGGGAAACGAGTTGTAACTAGTATGTCATGTAGAATGACTATGTTCTAATAATACTGAAATTGAAACATTGTTACTTGGGATTAAATTGGTTTGTGCAATACTCGTGTGCAATGTGATTGGACAATTTAATCTATTAAATGTACATTAAAATTAAGAAGGGAAATGAAACCTGAAAGGGTAAAGAAAAGGTTGCCCACTAGTAGTTATGGTTGCTACTAGTTGGTTTAAATCACTACATAAATCCCGCAAAATATACTTGGTTTGACACTTTTGCCCATTTGTGAATTCTTACCCAAAACGAAAAATTATGACATCGAAAAATCAAATTAAAAAAGACACTTGGTTTGACAGTTTTTGCCATTTGTGAAATGTTACCAAAAACGAAAAATTATTCTGACATCGAAAAATCGAATTGAAAAAGACACTTGGTTTGACACTTTTGCCCATTTGTGAAATCTTACCAAAAAACGAAAAATTCTGACATCGAAAAATGTGGAGTCGTACTGGGTACGCGCGAGAGACCAGAGAGCCGAGGGACGCCGAACAGTCGTCGTCGTCGCAGCAAAACAAGGTAAAACATCGTCGGAGGCGTGAGCATGGACCACCCCCGTCATGGTCAGGGCGCATGGCCAGGCGCCACTCCCACCGTGGCGGCGTCCTGGCCAGGCGCAACTGCCATGGTGGTTGTGGTCTAGCCAGGCGCCACTGCCCTTTATTTTTTTTTTTAATTTTTTTATTTTTTTTTTTGTTTATAAATTTGATAAATTGAAATTATTAAAAAAAAAAAAGAAAAAGAAAATGTGTTAATTGTAATTATGTTTTAAATATTTGTTAATAAATTTATTTTATAATTTTGTATGTGGAAATTAGATTTTTAATTTTTTTGTTTTTTTTTTAATAAATTTGAGAAATTTAAATTGTAAGAAAAAAAATGTATAACTTGAAATAATGTTTTACATATTTGCTAATAAATTTATTTTATAATTTTGTATGTGGAAATTAGATTTGTGTTAATAATTTACAAAAAAATTTATTATGTTTTAATTTTGTTTGTGTATGAATACTTTAACACATAATTATGTTTTAATTTTGTATGTGTATGAATACTTTTATAAATGATTATGTTTTAATTTTGTATGTGTATGAATACTGTTATACATAATTATGTTTTTAAGTTTGTGTTAATTTACGCTTTACATAATTATATGTATTTAAATATAATATCTAATTGATGCAGGATTATGGTGGAGACGGAAATGATTACAGTGGGATATTTGTACATGATGGTCCCTTCGAAGATGCTCAACAAGCGATTGATTGGGCTAAACAGGTTGCAATTACTTCTGGTTTTTGCTTGGTAGTAACAAGTCATAAATCTCAACGGGATTGTAGAATGGATCGCATTTTGAGATGCGACCGTTATCGCAAAAGAGAAGAAA